GACACAAAAGCAAAGAAAAGTATTAGCAACAGCATATTAATATAAAGAGTAGATCGGCTACAGGAGGAGGATTAAAAACCCCCCAAATGAGCTCAATCAAGAAATATCTGCCCCCACAAGAAAAAAGTCCAGAGGGCCACTCCAGAGAGACATCAGGAAGCAAGGGAGCGACATGAGCGGAGAAGTAACAAAGCAGATCAAACTAGACTGTCGCTAGTATCATCAAATCCAGGTCAATCTTAAGAACTGATTAATATGGGAAGCGGGGGGGGGGCTCAAGAGACATGAAGGAACAAGGTCTAACTCTGCACAAGGTCTAACTCTGCAAATACCTACAAAAGCAGATATGGCAGAGATGTTTGTTGTGAAATTAGAAGAATGAAATCACAATTCTACATAATGAACTGGGACAAATTTTCGGCTAGAGGATATGGAGGAAAGAGTGGGGACACAAGCACAAGTAATTATGAAGTTGGACTCGCAAATAGAGGATATGTATAAGGTGCAAAGGAAGATGGCATATAGAATGGAAGATCAAGAGAATAGGGACAGAAGAAATAACCTGAGGATTAGAGGTTTTGCCAGAGGTAACAAATGGAGAAGATTTATTGGAGGAAATGATGAAAATACTTAACCCAATAATAGGAAGGTCACTGAGTGAACAACTGAAGATAGACAGTCCAGGGGATTAAGCGACTCCTGGGAACGGCTCCAGAAGACCCTAGAGATATAATTGTGCGTTTTCATCATTATGAAGCCAAAGCTAACATATGGAAGAAGTTATGTGGAATTCCAGAAATAAAAGAGCGAGGAGTTAGTTTGCAAATTTTTGCAGACATAGCACCAGAGATCTTAGCTAGAGCTTCCCAGCATGCTTGATCGGATGGAAAGACAGACAGTCAGCAAGGTTAAGGTTCCCAGAAGACTTAAAGCCCTGTTCTAAAAGACTGGACTTGCAGATAATAGACATTCCAGGTTGGTCCAGTGTTGCATGACCACGCTATTGTCATTCAAAGTGTAACAGAGCTGAAAGCCGAAAGTTGGCCTGGGCAGGAAGGGGGTATAAGTGCCCAGTAGGCAAGTGATTAAAGATCAATAAAGCAATGGGCCCTGATGATATTCATCCCAGAGTTCTAAGATAACTTCAAGGTATAGTTGTTGGACAATTAACTGATCTTTTTAACCAATCTCTAACAGGAGAAGTTCTCCATGACTGGCGGACAGCTTATATTGTACCTATCCACAAAAAGGGCAGCAAGGTAGAAGCTGGCAATTACAGGCCAGTAAGTTTAAAATCGGCTGTAGTCAAGTTAATAGAATCACTTCTGAAAACAAGGATCGTTGATCACTTAAAAACACACAACTTGCTGGATCCAAAGCAGCATGGCTTTACTGAGGGCAGATCACGTCAGACTAATCTGATTGGATTTTTTTACTATATTACCAATGATTTGGACCGGGTGGTGCTGTGGACATGGCATATCTTGATTTCAGCAAGGCATTTGATACAGTTACACATAATGGTCTAATACAAAAGTTGTACAAGCTAGGACTTGGGTGGTTCAGTGGATATGCAGCTAGCTACAGGATATATACCAGAGTGTGGTCGTAAATGGGGTTCACTCAGAACAGAGACCAGTCACTAGTGGTGTACCACAATGCCCTGTACTAGGTCCTGTTCTATTTAATGTATATGTAAGTGATATAATTAAAGGTTTGTTGGGTAAGGTATGTCTTTTTCCTGAAGACACAAAGGTGTGCAATAGGGTTGATATCCCTGGAGGTGTTTGTAACATGGAACATGATTTGGCAATGCTGGAAGATTGGTCAAAAAAGTGGAAATTGTAGTTCAATGTGAAAGATCTGGGGAATAAAACATATCAGGAGGAGTGACTGGTCAGGATCTGTACAATCTGGAGAAAAGAAGGGACTAAAAGTAGTTGATGCTTGGAATCAACTTCCTGCAGAGGGGTAGTGAGCCAGTCAACAGTAAATATCTTCAAACATGCTTGGGACAAGCATAGATCTATACTCGGACAAAAAAAAAAAAACCCCCCCCCCCCCCCCCCAAAAAAAAGGGGCAGACTCGATAGACCACTTGGTCTTTTTTCTGCCATCACTTTTCTGTTTCTATGTTCTACTGACACCATCCACTGCCTTACTGACAAAGGGTTGTGGGTTTGAAACCTTTTGTCTCTGGTGGACAGTTGGACTTCCCCACCCTAAAAAGACTAAAAATAACCTTCCTAACTGAATGTTTTTCAGACACCTACAATTGTGTAATACATTCCATGTGCAATTTCCCATTCCCCTCAGTTTAGAATCTGATCCAATTGAGCAGGTACTTACCTCCAGTATGACATGGAAGCCTCTATCATCCCTTAAAAAGTTTAAGATTTGGTCCACAAGGTTCGGATACAATTCCTCCTTCACATTGAGACACAGTTGAGTCTCTTTTTTTGTATCATTCTACCCAGCTCAAATGAACAGGCTTACATGAGTCTTGGTTTCTACCGCTCTTCAGAATTTGCCACAGAGTAATGCCTCCTAACTCATTTTATTACCCAGGATTTTTACCACCTACAAAAACTTACAACCCATCAGAAATCACAACAGGTGTTACAATACGTAGTAAGGTCAGTGGTCAAACGATGTTTTCTAAATATTGTGTGCCAAATGTGTTTGCAGTGCAGTTAATGTTTATCACCGTGTTCTGTGCAAGAACTTTTGGATCACGGCACTTCAAATAAATTGAACAGACTAAGCGTAGCCATACACATGAAAATTTATATCTTGCTCAGCAATGAATGAGCGCAACATACTAAACAGTGTGGATGGATGTATCTCCTGTCGTAGCTATTGTATTTAGACAGTGGCAGCAGCCATTGCTGTCTGAATACCCAAACAGTGACTGCATCTGATTAGAGATAAATCTAATAGGATGTAGATACTGTTTGGCCAATAATTTTCCACCTGACTCCGTTGATTTTGAAGCTGACTTTTGTTCAGCTGGGTGCTGCTGACTGGGCCACCCATTGCTCACATTTTGGCTGATTTGGTAAGAGCTGTGTATGGCCAGCCTAAAAGTTTTTAGCTAGACAAACAAATTCATAAATAGTTTGTACTAATGAACAGTACCTTCTTGCCATGTTTCTGACCATATGATAAAAGTTTCACTTTATACAGTATTTTAATATTAAGTTGTTCAGTAGGATAACAATATGCCTATTGTAGAACCACACCTATTTTAAATGAATGCCCCACCCCTAATGAAAGTATTTTCTCTGCCTACGATGGCTTACTGGCCACACAGCCAAAAAGGTATCCCTATAAATTTTTGTTGAAATGTTGGTAACTGTGCACATCCCTTACAAAAGACCATAAATGCAGATTATTATAAAATACAAATTTTAAAGGGACTTTCTTGGTGCCAAATATTAAAGTGGAGCTCCACCCAAAGGGGAAGTTCATCTTTAAGGCTTCGTCCCCTGCTCCCTATTAAAGATTGAGACCTTTGGGGAGCAGGGGGGTACCCCCGGAAGTTGCCCCCTCCCCATAGTCTTCTGAGACAGAAGACTATGGGACCATTCACAAAGCGCAGTGCTACTCGCACATGCACAGTGGGCCACAAGCTGTCACAGTGGGGTGCCAATACTGAAGATGCCAGTGCTGGGGACACAGGCTGGCCGGTTTGAGGACACCACGGGATTGGGGGACAGGTGAGTGCCTGTTTTTTTTTTAAAAAGTCAGCAGCTACAGTTTTTGTAACTGCTGACTTTTTTTTGCTTTTTTTTTTTTTTAACTTTGACTGGACCTTTGCTTTAATTACATGTTTTTTCGTCATATTTTTATTGATAATTATAAAATCTTTACCATTTAAAATGTACATAGTATCACTTCAAATTCAATAAAATATCACTGAGACAGTAGGGATCAAACACTTTTGCCTAGTCAACAATCCTGGTACATGTTAATTGCTTCATAGATTTACTTGCAATACTTGCTATATTAGGGTATAAACCCTTCATGCGGTTAGCACATGAGGTTCCTACATAGATGCAGTGTTCACTATACAGTGCAATACAGAAGAGACAGCTCCATTTTTTTACTCATTTCACTGTTGGCTTCTTCAGAAAACGGAGACAATCTGTACTATATATAAATATTAATTTCACACATTTAAACCTATATACATATAATTCTTTACAACTCTAATCTTTATTAGATGCACCTCATCAAATTTTATTGAACCTGATGTAATACTATGTATATTTAAAATAGGTAAAGATTGTATATTTTATCAATAAAAAAGTGTGAAAATTTGGCACCAAGAAAGTCACATTGAAATTAAGATTGGTGTGCATTTTGAAGTGAATTTTTAGTATGTTTTATAGATTACTGATACAGTTCTTCTATAGTTATACCTTTAAAGCAGAGCTCTAGTCCTGTACAATTAAAGCCAAACAAAATTACAATTCATTACCAATGTACTTGCTGATTCCTACAGCTTTTTCTCTAGTACTCATCACAGTTCGCCCCTTTTCCTCTGTCAGATGCAAATCCTATGCATGCAAAGTGAGGAAATCTGCAACATAGACATCCCAAGAAGTTACTTCCCCAACATCCCATGTCATTCCACCAGTGTGAGGTTCATATTCTAGCATCCCTGCTATACTAAGGACATTTATCAGGCTGTGCATATATAGTTCATTCCGTTGTTACTAATTCTGCTGAATAGCAGTCAAGGAAGGTGTTACAGAAATATTGAACTGGCTAATTTACTAAATAATAAATTAAGCTTTTATATAGGTGACATATTTTAGGAGGCTATAGTTATGACTTAATGTTGTGCCTACAAAATAGGGATGCTGGCATCAATGTAGATTTCCAAAATACTCCAAGAATAATTTTAGAAAACTAATTTATTTTATAATCACACTTAACATGTTACACAGTCAAAGATTTATTTAATTGCTCATTTTATTTTGCTCTAACACAGAATGGTGGCAATCAATACTGTGAAGATAGAGGACGGGACAGTCTCCTGTGAGACCCCCGAGGGAACAGTGAAAAATATCAACATTAACCAGAGGCCCTGCATGGAGAGCCGGCTGGATGCCATTAAGAATGTCAGAATAGTCAGGAAAGATGAACAATGCAACCAGCCAGCCAGAACGTCCCCTTCTGGAGTATATCTAGGAGGTGGGGTAAGAGTACTTCATTGAGCCTTTATTACTATATTATACTTCTGTTTTCATATGTTAAAATTTTATTGTTACCAAAGCACATGTTAAAAGGAATTTTTTAAAAGGTTGGCAGACTCTGACAAGATATAATAATAGGGGATTTTAATTACGTGAATGGAGTAATGGCACTGCTGGAACAGTAAAAGTGCACAGCTTTATAAACCTATTACAAGACAATTTTATGGTACAGTTCATAGCGGCCTCAACTAGAAATGATCCTCTACTGGACCTGTTAATTTTAAACGTTGCCGTGTTTATTACTAATGTTCATATAAAAAACCATCTGGGACCATAACATGACTATTTATTGTGAGCTGTAAACAAAAAACTTCCCTCCTGGTCGACTTGGACCAAGCGGGATTTATCCCTGGTAGAGAGGCAAGGGACAACACTATCAAGGCCCTTAATCTCAACCAGTGGCTCCGTAGGTCTAACTCTCGGGTTTTTTTCTTCTCCTTGGATGCAGAAAAGGCCTTTGACAGGATTGCCTGGGATTACTTGAATGCGTCTTTAGTAGCACTGGGTATGGGTGAGAAGATGCTTAACTTTATAATGGCCCTTTATTCTGCCCCTACTGCCCGGGTCTGGGTGAACGGCCATCTGTCAAACTTCTTTCATTGCCGGAACGGCACATGTCAGGGATGCCCCCTCTCCCCGCTCTTGTTTGTCCTATCCCTTGAGCCCCTGCTAAGGAAAATTCGTTTAAACCCCGACATTAAAGGAATCATGGTAGCAGACAAGGAATATAAGCTCGCAGCCTACGCGGATGATATTCTCTTGTTCCTGGCGGACCCTCACACCACCCTTTCCGAACCTACTGAAAGACTTTGCCTTTTTCAGATACTTGTCAAATTTTAAAATTAATTTTTCCAAATCTGCCACCCTTAATTTTACCTTGTCTGCTGAGCTAGTCTCTGCCTGTGAGGCCCAATTCCCATTTCACTGGGAAAGGGACTCCCTAACTTATCTCGGTATCCAGCTCACTAGCAACCTTGACAACCTTTGTGAAAAACTTTCTTCCTGCTCTTCGCTCTATGCAAGAAGACCTCAATAAATGGCACCATCCTTGTTTCTCGTGGTTTGGAAGGGCAGCGATCGTTAAAATGAATGTACTTCCCCGTCTCCTGTATCTCTTCCAAACATTACCAATTCACCTACCTCTTGCTTTCTTTGCTTCTTGCAAAAGACTGTGCTCGCTGTTCCTATGGAGCCACAAACATCCACGTATTGCCTACTCCCAATTAACCCTCCCTAAGCTCAGAGGGGGAATTGGATTTCCTGATCTTCACCGCTACTATTGGGCTTGTCGTCTTTCCCGGATAGTCGATTGGCACGTCCACACTGCCTCTAAAGACTGGATATCTATAGAAAATGCTTGCTCACCCTTCCCCCTGGCATCAATCCCTTGGCTTTCACCGAAACACACGCCCCAGGCTCTTCTCACTCACCCTTTAGTGGGGCCTACTTTAAAATTTTCCGTTCAGCTTGTAGATCTGCATCCATCTCAGAAACACCCAACCCTCTGACCTCCATTCGCCTCAACCCTGACTTCCCCCCTGGAATGCATAAAGACTTTTTAAAGAAACACTGGCCACACAAACAGATCCTAGTGAAACATTTTCTCCACAAGGGCAAGGTGAAAACACTCAGAGAATTGCTTGAAAGCATGGATATTCGCGAATTCCCTTTCTGGGCATATTTTCAGATTAGACATTATTTGCTCTCTCATAAACCCCCCCATAACTGGTACCGCTCTCTTACCCCATTTGAATCTGTATGCGCGAAGGCTGAACCGCAAAAACATCTGATGTCGGAGATCTATCCACTCCTAGTGGAGAGTCGGTCTTATAACTCCCTTCCCTCATGTCGGGCCTGGAAGAGAGATCTTAAAGTGGACCTCTCGGACTCAGACTGGGACCTGATATTCCAATACTCTCATAAATGTTCCCTCAATGTCTCGACACAAGAAAACAGCTACAAAATAGCCTCTAGATGGTACCGAACTCCCTCGAGAATTCATCGTTTTAACCCCACCTTTCCCAACAGCTGCTGGAGATGCGGGACCTCTGACGGGTCCTTTCTTCACATATGGTGGTCTTGCCCGATTCTTTAACCATTTTTGGCAGGAGGTCCATAGGTTAGTAGTGTCTATAACTACCTTACTCTTAGCTTTCTCTCTGGCTCAATTCCTCCTCCATCATTCTTCCCTTCCCAGGGCTCAGTACTTTAAATCATTAGCCATGCACATGGTCAACGCAGCCAGACTCTGTATTCCGGTTCTGTGTGGCTCCACACACTCTCCCTCTATACATGATTGGATCACCCGAGTGGGTAAAACGGCGCACATGAAAGAACTGGTTGCGACTGCACTCGACACTCCTACAAAATTCTTCCATATATGGGTCTGCTGGACCCACTTTCGGACTACCCCGGAGTATCGATCCCTCATGGACCAATCTGTCTGAACCTGACTTTGACTTTCTGATGGTGTTATTCAGTTGCATTTGACCTGATGGGTGTCATCATATTCCTTCCTGCGTTCCACCCACATTCTCTTGATGCAGATGATAGCTTAGATTCCTCCCGCTACTGTTGATATTGCGGATTACATATTTTGGCGGTCATCCCCTCCCTTACTTTACCTTCCCCATGTGCTTCCCTTACCCCCCCCCCCCTTTTTTTTTTTTTTTTTTTAATTTTTCCTTCTTTCTTGCCTTCTCTTTTTTTTTTTTTTTTTTCCTCTCGTATGCTCACACACACGTTTCGGACACTCCCTCTAGTAGAATACTGTGTACGCTGTCGGCATCATCTCCCTTACTTCATTAGCGGTCCTCACGACAATTTACTCCTACATTTGCGTTTGGACAACTCCATCATCACAATCTATAGTATTGACTCTTACCTAGGTATCGTATTTACTCTTCTCCCCTCTACAGATTCTTACCTCAAGACACTATGGTAGGAGGCCAGATGTCTCCATATTTCTAGCACTGGATCAGCATACCTGAATATTACAGGCACAACCCTGTCGTGGCCTAGTTCATCCACACTGATTGATCTTGCGTTGGACCTCATTTGCCTCTGCGTGATATATGCTTTGTTACATATCCTATGTACACTTCATCTGTACATTTTTGTGTGTTAATTTGTATCTTGTTTTCAATAAACTTTGTTCTTTTTGGAAAAAGACCTCATTAAAACACTTCCAGCCCACCTACATTCAGAACGTATAAATGCGATTCCTGATCATCCAGAAATCGGGGACTTCTACATGCTACCCAAAATCCACAAGCCAGGAAATCCAGGCAGACCAATCTTAACAGGTATGAATACACTCACTGAAGAAATCTCAGGCTTTGTAGAAGAAATTTTAAAACCGTTAGTCAAGAATACTGCTAGTTTCCTGCAAGATACAACTGACTTTCTGAACAAGATCAACAACATACAGCAATTATCATCTAATACACTTCTAGTGACTATGGATGTAGTATCCCTGTATAGTAATATCCCTCACAAGGATGGATTAGCTGCATGTCACAGATCCTTATCATCCTCACCAAACCACAAATACACTGCTGAGGATGTTACACAGCTCATTGAATTCATGCTTACACACAACTACTTTACTTTCAATAAAAACATCTATCTTCAATGTATGGGTACTGCGATGGGAAGTAAAATGGCACCCCAATATGCCAATTTATTTATGGCTGACCTGGAGGAAACATTGCTGAACAGCATGAAACAAAAACCATACAAATACTATCGCTATATTGATGATATTTTCATCATATGGACAGAAGGTGAAGAATACCTAAAGCAATTTTACTCATTGATTAACACTTTTCATCCATCAATCAAACTAAAAATGGAATACTCAAACACACACGTCAACTTCCTAGACACCACAGTATACATCAGGGATGATACGCCTCACACCTCATTATACAGGAAACCCACTGACAGATGCAACTACCTCCACAGTTCTAGCTTCCACCCCCAACACATGAAACGTGCCATCATACACAGTCAAGCCATTAGATACCACCGAATATGTTCTGACCCAAGAGACAGAGATACACATCTTAGGATACTAGCAGACTCCTTCCATAGGATAGTTTTATCCTTGTAACCTATCAACACCAGCATAAACACAGCCTTGAGAACCTGAAGGGAAAATTTACTTCAGTACAAAGAGAAAAAAACAAACAACCATGTACCTTTAGTAACCAGATACAACCCAGCACTAGAAGGAATAAGAAAAATAATCAAAGATTTACAACCCATCATAACAGAGGATGGAACTCTGAAAGAAATATTCCAGCAACCACCAATACTGGCTTTCAGACAACCCCCCAACCTCAGAAATAAACTAATCAGTAGGAAACTTCCTTCTGATTATGAGGTCACAAATAATGGAAGCACACCCTGCAATAAAAAACTATGCAAACTGTGCAAATTAAATCAATCCATCAAAAAGTGTCACACACTCAAAAGGGATCTTCAATATCTCCGGTTCATACAGCTGCACCTCCAGTAATGTTGTGTATGTTATCCAGTACAGAATGTAACAAAGGATCCTATGTTGGCGAAACAGGACAGAAGTTGCAAACAAGGATGAATTTGCACAGACATATCATTAAGGAACATAAAGAAGATGACTTCTGCACACCTGTGGGACACCATTTCGCACAACCAGACCACACTTTGGGAGACCTCAATGTTTTAGTTCTGAAAGGAAATTTCAAATCCATTCAGGAAAGAGAAACTTTTGAACTAAGAATGATAATTCTATTTGACACAAGAGACAAGGGCCTTAATTTGGACATGGGATTCCTCAATCATTATCTGACATTGTTATGACTCTCTCTGTGATTATTGTTCTCCACCCCCCCCCCCCCCACCCCCACCCCCCAGTCTTTGCTTTTGCTTTGCTGTATCTTATCTTTAGTTTAACCCTAGGCTTGTGTCTCTTTCTGCTTTTTTTTTTTTTTTTTTTTTTCTTCTTTCATCTCCAACTTCTAACATTCTGCTAAAACATTGTAATAGTGTTGCTCGGACCTTGAAGAAGGGGACATACCCCGAAAGCTTGTCCTCAAAATTGTATGTTAGTGCAAATAAAAAAAGTATCACGGACAGTACTCAATTGTTTCTAGAACACAGAATAAAAATGGGAATGTTTCAAATTGATTGTGTGTAAAACACACTGCAAAATACTGTATATTCCCATGAGTAATAAGGTTAAAAGGCTAAAAATAAAAAATCTGGCTCACATCCAAAGCTTTATATAATAAGAAAAGAGCTTTTAAAAAAAAATATAAAAATAAAGGAACACTATCATCATTTAAAATTTACAAAGAATATAACAGAATATGTAAAAAAAGGAAATCAAGGGCGCAAAAATTCAAAACAAATGACAGGTTGCAAAAGAGTAGGAAAAACCTCCCCAAAATTCTTCAAATATATTAATAGTAAAGATCAGGTTTGAGCATGTAAGCCCTTTACTAGATAATTTAAAGTTGATGATTAGGAACACAGAGAAGCAAAATGTATTAAAAAACTTTTTCAGTTTTGTGTATACAAATAAAAATGGGGGAACTCAGGGCAATAAAAGGGAGCATGGCCCCAAATGATCCACAATGGCTCTTGATATGATCCAAAAAAATTTGAGTTGAGCTTCATTATTTCATAGCCATTTTTTATAATTCGAAGAGACTCTTTAATGACTGGCATGGTATTGGTGCCTATATGTAAATAGGAATTAAAGTCTTTACCAACTTTAACTCCTATAGTTGTCAAGATTCTGGAGAGTTTAAGAAAAGACCACATGGAATTTTTGCTATAAAACATTTTAGGCAATGAACAGCATGGATTCATGAAAGACTGAAGTTGTCAAACAAATCTGATTTCTTTTTAGAGAGAAAAGCAAAAACTTAGCACTGGCTGTGGAGGTAGTATACTTGAATTTTGCAAAAGCGTTTGACACAGTTCCTCACAAACGGCTAACATGTAAGTTTAAAGTCTACAGGCTTACAAAATTCAGTCTGTAAATGTATAGAAAACTGGCTAAAAGATCATATTCAGATATTAGTGATATTCATGCTCTGAATAATCTAAGGTTATTAGTGGTGTACCCTAAGGTTCAGTGTTGGAATCCTTAATTTTTTTAAATATTTTTAAAATGATATAGAGTCTGGGATTGAAAAGTACTATTTTAGTCTTTGCAGATGACACCAAGCTGTACAGTGGAATAACGCCCTTACAAGATTTCTCCAATTTACAAGCCGACCTCAATGCACTGTTTAATTGGGCAACTATGTGACAAATGAGGTTTAAATGTTGATAAATGTAAAGTTGTGCACTTGGGGGCTAAAGGCATGCATGCTTTACATATTCTATGAGGAGAACAGCTGGTGGAGTCAATGGTGGAGAAGGATCTGGGTGTTCTGGTAGGTCATAGACTCCAAGAGAGAAACATTTTCCCCTGTACAAATCATTAGTAACACCTCATCTAGAATACGCAGTTCATTTTTGGGGACCTGTTTACAAACAGGATGTCGGAGAACTGGAGAAAGTGCAGAGGACAATCAAACTAATAAGAGGAATGGAGGAACTCGGCTATGATAAAGATTAGCTGAACTGAATTTATTTTCTCTTGAGAAGAGGAGATTAAGGGGAGATATGACCAACACCATAGAGTGAACTTGGTGCAGTTATTCACTTTCAGAGACGGGCAACAAAAAGGTAATAAAAAGGGGCTGGAAGATTGCAATTATGAGGAACGATCAACAAATTTTGAAATTATTCTCCCTGAAGAAAGACGCTTAAAGTGTTACTAAAGTCTGAATTTTTCTTTAATTAAAATAAAAACATGTTATATTCACCTGCTCTGTGCAGTGGTATTGCACAGAGTGGCCTGGATTCTCCTCTTCTCGAGTCCCCTACCGGTGATTTCAGCTCCTCCTTTTCTTTGTGTCCCCATAGCAAGAAGTTTGCTAAGGGAACACACGCTGCATACACGCTCCCAAGCTGTGTGTCTATGGAGCTGCACTCCAAAGACATACACAGCGTAACTTAGCCCCGCCCACCCACTTCCTCTTCACTACATTTGATTGACAGCAGCAAGAGCCAATGGCTCCTGCTGCTGTTCGAGTCCCTGTGTTATGAGGAAGAGAGGGGAGAAGAGATGCAGCTGTGCGCAGCTCTGATGTCTTCTCCCCTCTCTTCCCCCTCACACAAAGAAGGGGAGCACAGACAAATGGAAAATGTTTACCTTTAATACAAGCAATGCATGAAGGTAAAAAAAATGTTTTTAGGTTTAGTATTACTTTAATTGGGGATATGATTGTAATATACAAATCTTTGAATGGTGACTAGCATTGGGAGGAAACAAATTTAACCTAAACTCTCTAAAGAAGATATGCAGCACAATGAAGCTGGATGAGAAGTAATGATGTGGATCTCCCTTCCACCATTGGAGGTGTCATCGAGGAGAGTAGATGAATTAAAAAAAACTTTTGGATGTTTTTCTTAGTGAACACAATGTACAGGGATATGGGAAATGGCAGTGACAAACACACACATGTTGCACTAGATGGTCTAGTGTCTTTATTCAACCTTACCAACTAAAGCCCCCACTATGTAACTAAACTGGTGTCAATGGGGAGTAGAGATACATTTAAAAAAACTTTGATATGTTACCTACTGAACACCATGTTAAGGGAGGGCTGGGTTTTCATACCTGCGCTATGTTCACACATGTGCAGGAATCCCATAGGTGTGCAGGACTCTGCTGGGACCCAGAGCCCTGTGGCACATCTGTGCGTGCCAAATCAAACTGAATAAACAAATCTATTACATTGTGAGATTTGGGGTTCTGGTTCCTGGGGTTCTGGATTAACTGCCAGCCATATATTTTGTAAAAACAGTTTTTTTCCTACAAAAAGGTGCAAACAAAAACAGTTTGTCTTCAACATCAAACAAAACAATCTATACACTCTGGCTCGCCACCAGGGTACTATTGTCCCACAACAGGGTTTTGGAGTTCCCACCTCCCTCCCCTCCCTCGAGGTCCACAGTAGCTCAGCAATGTTTCAGCATAGCAAGCAGTCCACGGCACACTATGTTCGGCTCCACTCAACACTTCTTCAACACTTGCTCGCTACTTCCTCTCTCTTTTCAGAGCACTTCCGCAGGTGGGCCAATCAAAGCGGCCTTTCTTTTCCCTCTTAAAGGGACCACAACCCAAAAAATGGTGACACATATTTACCATCCCCCATCCCTGGCATTCTGTTATATAGCCCGCTGTTGGCTAATGCTGGATCACAGGAGAGTATAGGTAAGTGCACCCAGGTGATTGAAAGTATGGCCAAAAAAGCCTTGGCCATACTTCTTTTAGCCTTTGTTCACATACTGTATATGTGGTGCGTGAAACCCAGTGAACCCTGTGCGTTTCCTGTACCGCGTTGAAATCGCAATGCGTTCAAGCAGTCTGTTGGGGATGTCAATGTTACCCCAAAACAGGCTGCAAAACAGTGCAATTGCATAGAAGTGCGAGCACCCACAATCCAATTCCAGTGCTGCAAAAAAAAAAAAAATGACTGCACTTATTTCATGAAAGAAATGAATGGGCTCAAATTGCACTGCAAGCAATCGCATGTGAATGCTGTCCAATCCTATATGAATCACGCGCGGTGTCCTACACCACACAAGTGTGAACCCAGGCTTAAGGATTTACATTTTTGAACAGGAGCAACCTATGAAGTAATCTAATTCCTAATAATATTGATAGAATTGTATTGACTGCAATTTTCTATTTTAAAAATCAAACCATTTTGTTTTGTCACTTTGCTGTAGGTCTCTCTTATGAGCTTGGGTGTCTTCAGTCTCATGCTGCATATTATTTTTATTGCGATTCCTGTAGACCTTAATATCAGCTATGCTGGGATACACTTCTGGGTAGGATTTCCGGTAAGTATCTAATGGATATTTTGGGTCTAGAATAATTTTAACCTTCATGAACATTATTGTGAACTTTTGATAGGTATCCAAGTCTCAGTTCTGAAAAAAAATTCCAGGAACTGGACTTTTTGAGAACTGCTGTAATAAAAAGTACATTATAAGCCAGCCTTGGAATTCTCTGGCCACCTGGTAGTGTAATCTAACAGTCATGTTGAATAGCACTAAAGGGGTATGTGACAAATCTGTGGGGGATGCCACTTCAAAGGACTCAATGAAGGTGAGGGGGAAGGAAGGCAGCTGGGACTCTCCCTCCTTTATAAACAGCTGGTGATCTAAACTGACCAGTGTCTTTGAGCGCCACCCATTATCTGAAAGTGGCACGGTCTGAAGATACAGTATGTGGAAGGGTGAGACTTTACCTGGGTGGGTGAGTCTAGGGGTGGTCTTTGCAATAGTATATAACACTTTCTCTTCTCCGGATCTTTTGATCACTGAGCACAATGGGAATGGAAAGTGCTCTGTGTTATAGTATCACCATTGTTCTTTGTTCCTTCTTTTTCTGTAACTTTCTTTCCTGTAGTTGTCTCTATGTATAGGTACTATTCTGTATTTACATTGTGATATCAATTCAAGTTTTTACCAGCTACTTTATACTTTGTTATATTTTATTAATAGCCAGCTTCTTTTCCATGTAAATAAATTAGATCTTTATTTTTAGCACAGTTGTGATCGTTTGGCATTAACTTGGTAATAGTCGCATCAGGATTGGCTAGATTCTTATATAGGCGAAAGATTGTAATCACCTATTATATTTATCAGCAAGGGAATAAGTGAGGTGGCTTGATCGCCAAAACAAGTATAATGTGAAAAATACTGTAGAGAGAATAAGAATCCAATACTAGGGAGAAAAATATCATGCATGTATTAATAACCTAAAGGATGTACACTATGTTGCCAAAAGTATTGGTCGGCCTGTCTTTACACGCACATGAAATTTAATATGTAAAAAAGTGCAGCGCTATAGTACTAAGATAAAACAATAAAGTGCATCACATGAAAAAATGTATCAATATATATATGTTAAAGCGGAACAGTAAAGTGCAACGTTTACAAGTGCAAAAAAAAATCAGCTAAATTATATGATATAACACAACTCATTAATGCGTTAAAAACTGAATAGGCAATATGGAACAGCAAAGTGCATCATATGAAAGTGCAAATGTAAAACGAAGTTCAGCGCTCAAAACATTCAATAAATCAATAAATTAGGCGGAACAGACAAGTGTGACAGAAATGTATATATGATTTACGTAAGTATAAATACAGCAATGATAAAAAGTCTGAATAATTGTGACAATTTGTGCACTAAAAGTGCTAAAAATCAATAGCGATGTTCGTATTTGTATATATTAAATTACAATTTAATCCAACAAGTTTGTTCGCATGGTGTCCTAATGTTGGTAAACTGCAATGCTTTCAACGTGCAGGATGTGAGAGTGCAAACAATCACAAAAAGGAATCCTCCACTTTGGATGGATATACACTCATCAGCAGATATATGGTATCAGGCATATATATGATATGCCACATCTGAAGTTGAAGCGGCAGCCAGGGGGTTAATCAAACTGCTCCATCATGGAAGGGCCCTTCCATGTGATCCTCATTCCAGAGAACAGGCTGGGGTTAGGATGGCCTAAAGGTGAGCTGGACAAGCTAATTTCCATAGGACAAAGGTCCCTTCTTCCAACTAAGCCCGGATGGGTGTGTTTTACTATGGGGCTGTGTCTGTGTGTTTTCACTGTAAGCACACTGCTTTGCATGGCTGTGCACAGCCATTCGAAGCAGTGTGCACGAGTTGACAGGGAGGAGAACTGTTTTGTTTACTAACAGTTTTCTTCCCTGTCGGAGATCCCTTGGCAATCACCGGGTGCCGGCGACTGCCGGGACCTGGTGATTGACAGCTGTGGCCGTGAATTGAGGTGCGGGTAGGGCTCACATGCGCCCCCTACCTGGAAATGCAAAATTACGTATATATACACGTGATTTTGCGCACCCGTGCCCCCTGTAGCAGTATATCTGCTATAGGGCGGACAGGAAGCGGTTAATGTCGGCATTGTTTACATTCTGCTGTCAGAGGGGAATTCCACTACAGCAGATGAGTCATGGCTGTTAAGGCCATCCCACTCCTTAACAACCAGTTATTCTTCACAATGATTTGGAATGGATTCAATATTTTCAAGTTCGAATTTTATTCAAATCCATTGGAAAAACTTTGAATCTGGTCAAAAACTAATAAATAAAACACATTTTGTTACAAATGCAATAAAAATAAAATTAGTAATTTTAAAGGGTGCCTTAACTGAAAAAAAGTTGAGAAACACTGGTATATAAACACACACACACACGTACAATTTAAAACACTAACTTTTTTTTTAATTGTTTGTCTCCTAACAGTTTTTTGTTGCTGGAGTAATGCATGTTGTGGCTTACAAATATCCTGATGCATTATTGGTAAGTTTACTCATTAAGTTTGCCCAAGTTAAAAAAAAAAAAAAAAAAAAAAACATCTATTGTGTACACAACATACTGTATCAATATGTCCTTCAGACAAGGAGGTCTATGCAATTCAAAGCGGATCCATAACCTACTCTTGATAGATGGTCTGGTCTTCCCCTTCCTTATCACAATGCCTTTCCAAATCACACTCGGTGCCAGTGACCTAACTGTCTACCTCCCCTGGGAAGGCAGAGATAGCAGTAAAATTAGAGGTAGGGGTGCATGTATAGAACTTTAAGGTTTCATGTACACTAGGCAGCTGAAAAAATACCAGAACATCTGGCAGAAAAAGCATCATAAAAAATGCTCATAATGGCTCATATTGCATTAAGAATTTATAAACGTTTACAAGAATTTGCTTTTCTAAGCTTTTTTTTTTTCCAGCACATTCCCCTCTTTTCAGTACCTTCATCAGCACTGGCATTTACCAGCCAATGAGGCCTTTCAGTATTCTCAAATAAACCATCACGTCCACAGCCTGATGGAATTTTCTCATATGTTGTAATTTATGCTAACTACCATTTGCATATGTTTTACATTACATGCTTTGGTACATTTCCTGAAGGTAGCACCACTGTACATATGACTAGTGTAGAAGAGATGCTAGTTAAGACCATAGCTACGGAACCATCCCCTACACAACTCTCTCTCGATATCCTCCCTCCGCCAGACTCTCAATATACCAATAAAGGAGACCAAAACACCGTTGAAGTAAAATAGCCATCAGGACCTTTAATTAACAATTTAACTTCAATAACACAAAAACATTCCTTAAAACAGAAACATACAGGAGAAGGTTTTGGTCTTCAAAGGCACCAAACAATACCGATATCCGCCTGCAGAACCTTAACCATAATAATAATACAAAGCCTCCAGCCGACTCGGAGAAAAAAAAAAAACACACCATCCGCAGTGCAGAATCTCCACCTTCTAGTTAAACCTCGGTTAACCGGAATGCACCCAGGCACACCATACCACAGATGGGTCCCAACCATTTGCTTTAGCTTAAAATTATTTGCCGCTTCCAAAGTCCAACAACCTCCCCCAAAACCAGAACAAACTGGGAACTAAAAGACCCAAACAACCCCAAGGGAGGGTGGGAGGAAAGATTCCTCTTTCGCTGCCACTCCTGCACTGGATTGTCCGACCCTCCACCACTCCCAAAAGGTGCCGAAGACCCCACCCCGCACTACTCATCACCAATCAGGTAACCTACATGTTTTACAGCCTTCCCACCTTTACTTAAGACTTTACTGTCTTTCCTACCCCTCTCCACATAATCATGTCTGCCCTCTGCTAAATTTTTTTTTTTTGTGCTACGGGCACCGCTTTACTGCTTTTTTTTTTTTGTACCATTATTGTATTCCTTTATAGGTTGTCTTGTAAAATCTTAAAAACCACATAAAGCATTTTTTTTCAGCCTGAAAGCTCCTCTTGCACTTGTGATTTTTTTTTTTACATCTGAAAAAATACTCCTCTGCAAATATGCCTGTAAATGCCTAAATGTGCATGGACATATAGGCTACCATAGAGTTACTTATACCGGCTGAACTAAAAGAGTGTCATGTGGCTATTCGGGTCACTCTCCAAACCAAAATGATATGCACTTCACTCCTCTTGGTTGCTCTGCCAGAGCATTGCATCGCCAAATGCAGTATTCCACCACCCCCACCCACCTTTTTTCTGTGCTTCTAGTCTGGTGGTCTGTCTGGTAGATCAAGCCTACATTATTTCACATTGTTTAGGGGTGTATTCCTGTGAAAGTCTGGAATTTAAGTACTAACAATTTGACAGTATACTGGGGATGTCAGGGCAAGCATTTTTGTCTACTTAGGTGAAAGTGCATTTTGATGCCGTCCATCCGGCACCCCCTCCATACCCACCATTGTGACAGGAAGGCATTGTGACAAGAGAGGGGTATCTGGGCAGTGTGTGGGGGACAATGTGATGGGAAGTGGTCAATGCGACAGGAGGGGGTCAGTGCAACAGGTGGGGAAGGGCAACGGGACAGAGGTGCGCAGTGGGACAGGAGGGGGCAGTGTCACTGATCACACACCTTGGGAATGACCAGTCCTTCCAAATCTCTCCAGGTGTCAGTGTGTAAAGGATCTGGTGCCAGATCAGGCAGGAGATCTACAGTGGCAGCTGCAGCTCATGGGGGGTATCCTCCGCCCTGAACTCCTTCCTTCTCCTTCCTGGGCCCTCCGCTGTCACCCCTTGACCTTACCCACCCTGCCCAGCCAGGCGCACTCTGCAGGACAGTAAGCTCTAACCGCTTTCTGCACACACCTGCATTCACCCATCACTCTGCCCCTTCCTCTCCATCCTGGCAGATCTGCTCTGACTGCATGACATGCAGACCGCGCCACCTGCTTACTGCTCTCTTTGTTTTGCCAACAGCCTAGTAAACAGCAGGCAAACTAAAACTTCCACACTGAGCCCTTTCTCCTACCGGGAGCAGCATGGAAGTTTTAGTTTTCCTGCTGGGGGGCATGGAAGACAGGTATTTAACACCCCTCCTAACTCAGCACCCTAAAGCAGCTGCCTTATGCTAGCACTGGCCCTAGTTAGGGCAATGTGGAGTACATAGGTCCAGGCTGCTTACGGGGAAAGCCTGCTAGTTTTTTTTAGTATGGGCAAAGTACAGCTTTACTTTTATGGATATTTTGTGTAACAGTACCCCCATAGGGGCCAGCAATTTTAAAGGTCCCTGAGGTAGTTTTCCCAGTATTTCCCCCCGCAGCCAGGCACATAGTCAGTCACCCTTGGCCCATTGACAGTCCACGGGAGTTTTTTTTTTTTTTTTTTTTACTTGGATAGGGACTGGGAGTAAGTGGGATACTCCAAAAAGAACTACCGGTACCATATGTACAAGGTGAGGACACTAAGCTTCCTTCTGTAGAACTGAGAGCAAAGTCCTTGTAAAAGCAGGCAGTGGACTTGGATTTGTAATAGCAGCTAAAGACACAAACGTATCTTGAGCATTTCGAGCAGAGTCCCTTCACAAAGAACTAGATTGACTGAGCTCTTCAAGACACCAGATGTCCCCTTTACACACATAGCTGACTCTCTATCACCAGAAGGGTGGCAGCAGCCCACAGTCTCTAGGATCTCTTACACCGGCCTGTACTCAGATGTTTGTTTCTTCCAGCCAAAGCCTTCCAGACACCTCTACAAGTGACCTCTGACTAGATCCTCAGATGACTCACGAACAGCAAGCACATAGTACGGTTGCCTAAGGGGGCAAACCCCCTAGGCAGTGATCTTATCCTGCAGGACAAGACAATTCAGATCCAAGTCTCAGACTACTTATATTCATTTCCCAGCAGTCACCTGTGCAGGGCTTACAAAGATTGGCTGGGATAGTATAAATATTCATGCTGACAATTTTTATTATTCCACACCTAATTCCAGAACTACCCAGAGGGTTCTGAATACAGAGGGATAGCAATCAAACCTGAAGCCTGAGAGACACAAAACAGACCTAACTAATCATATGCAGTTGTACTGATTACAGCGAGCTAGAACTAAATTTGCTAAAACATTGCAGTCATGCTGATTACAGTGAGACAAACTAAATTTACCTAACAAAGAAAATACAGCTCCACTGGATACAACTAAATTTACCAGGTTTTAGCACCTATCTAGGAGCCTGCTACATTTGTAAATTCCTAGTCCCTATTCTGATAAAGTAGACATCAAACGCTATTAGAAATTCTGTACATAGCCCTACAGAACAGACCACATGTGCTTTTCTGCTTTACTGCAACAAGGAAACAGGCAAATATATTCAGGGAAAAGACTGAGTATACCTTAGGCTAGCTATACATTATACCATTTTCTTGAGATTTTTGCTTTCAATTTACCAAAACCTCATAAATATGAGGTCAAACCTAAACAACACTTTCAATTGTATCCAATTAGGCAGGCCCTTGCACTGCATAGTTGAAGGTAACTCTAAAGGAAATTGGGCACGAATCGGACAGAAAATTTTAAGAAAATTGTATAGTGTATGGCCAGCCTTAGATGCAACTACAAACGTATAAACACTGCCATCTACTGGTTTAAGAATATATTTCTACTAAATACTGATGTAGTTGTTGCACAAAATAGATGAACACTGTATTCCACAGGTGTCAAACTGGTGGCGTTCCAGCTGTTGCCAAACTCAAGTCCCATGAGGCATTGCAAGATTGACAGTTACAAGCATGGCAGAGGTATGATAGGGCTTGTAGTTTTGCAACATCTGGAGGGCCACCAGTTTGATACCCCTATTATTCCAACAAAAGCCTTTTTGTCTTGTGGTGCAAGGTCCAACCATGCAGACTCTGCAACCCCGTTAAAAAAATAAATAAAAATTGACTGCTTTAATATCTGCTATAGAAGGTCAGAGAAATTCACAGAACTCTAGAAAGATCTTGGACAGCTTGGCATGCTATATTCATAACTAAACCCAGTATACAAAAAGCCTGATTTTTATTTTTTGTTTTTCACACCAGAGGCTCATTTCCTTAATTTCTCTGTTGGCCTGCATGGCTGTGTCTATTGCTGGCATGGTCTTTGTTGTCACTGAGGTTTCTTCCGGAGGGAACAACATGGAATATTTGTGTGATAACCTCGGCCAAAGGCAAAACCGTGATTACAATCAAACGACACCTCTAAGATACTACAACAGATACTATGACAGGGACTACGATCTGAAGAGATGCAAGAGGGGATTTCAACAATACCGGGTATGATCCTGTCTGTTCTGTTTGGAGTGTGCAAGGGATGAAAGATGTCATGAATGGTAACAGCACAAGTGCTATGTGTTCAGAGAAAGCCTATGGAGGCTCAAGGGATCTAATCCAAGAGAATTTTTTTTTTATATTTACACTGCATCCGACTTTCAAAATGGTGCTCAATCTACAAATTTTGGATAAAATGTGGAAGGGTGACAGCATCTGTTTTACAGGGGCAGGGTTATACAGCCACTTCCTCCACTGGGAAGATCGCCTTTCACTTCCTGTTGTGAATCAGGAACATGGGCAGAAATAAACCTGACCAAGGTTTTGGCCTTTTCCCATCCTTTTGAAAATAATTGAAGTATTTGCAGCTGTAGTTATGGAATGGCAGAACGTTTTGTGAACAGTTGGTTTGATCACTTTCCTTCTCTTTGCTCAGAACATGCGGTTTGCCATGGTCGTTATGTCCTTGGTGATGATGATCTGGGGCCTCTGTGCTTCCACTATAACTCTGGGCTACAGATTGATGGTGATTTTCAGGGCCCACAGACGGAAGGTAAGTAGAAATATTACCACTTGGTTACTGCTAGAGACAAGTAAACATTAAAATGTCAGGTCCTGCCTTAACATCTGTTTCATGGGGTTGGATATTTGCAGTCTGACAACACTACCTAAAAAAGAAAAAAAAAATTAACACCCAACCACCGTAGAAATAAACGCAAGCACTGGAGCTAGTATGTGGGTTCTCAGCCTTCTCAGGGATTCATTACTGAAGTGTAGATTGCCCTGCCTTCGTACCCCTGTTCAGTTTTATGCTTACTTGTCCTAGATTCAGCGAGATATCACCAAAGACGACAGAGCCTGCAAGCATATACAAATAATATGCTCAGTAATAAATAATGACCCTTATCCCCAAATTGGTGTATCTAAATCAAAAAGTCCTAAATCCAATAGTCCAAAAGTTTATGAAACCAATGTCCCTTATAAATCAAAAAATTATGTCCAAAAATTGTCCACAAAGTGATAAACTCTTCAAAGTCTTGTAAAAGCTTGGTTTACCCCAAGTTGGCTGTGTGATGGGACGAATGATATTCGGCCAGTATCCTCACTTTCACCTCCTCATACTCTAATGTGGATCCATCCATGTATGAGGAGGTGAAAGTGAGGATACTGGCCGAATATCATTCGTCCCATCACACAGCCAACTTTATTATCTAAGGCCTAAAGTGATATACATATTGGTAAGGGTATTCACTCCTTACTGCAGTAGACGTGATTTATGTGTGTGTTCTAAGCACTTTAAAGAGTGATTCACCTACACGGTTCTTCACCACTATACATAGTGTATTGGCACACGTTTGCTGTTTACACCTTTTGTTTCACTTTGGTGTAGTATCACTGGATGAGTTATATGATGTATATATATTAAGGATAATGCACTATGTGGTTTTTATTTCTGTTTTGTTTTGAGGTAAACCAAGCTTTTACAAGACTTTGAAGAGTTTATCACTTTGTGGACAATTTTTGGACATAATTTTTTGATTTATAAGGGACATTGGTTTCATAAACTTTTGGACTATTGGATTTAGGACTTTTTGATTTAGATACACCAATTTGGGGATAAGGGTCATTATTTATTACTATCACTGAGCATATTATTTGTATATTTTGTACACCTCTAAGGGTAGGGGGTGAAGTGTGCTGATACGGGATTTTGGTTAAAGTGATTTATTAATATTATTAGAGCCTGCAAGCAGGTGCTTGCAGTGTGGTCCAGATTTAAAGTATTATTTTATTTCAATTTCAAAGGCTTTGTAACAATTCAGTGTTTTTATGCACTCTTGTGTTACTTAAAGGTAAATTCCCTTTTTTGCCTTATTATAGGCTTACCTGTGTGTACCAGAAATATGTGGACTGTTTAGAAGATGTCACCAGCGCATGTGTTCTGAAGGAATGGCATACCCATGCCGTTCCTTCAGAGCCCTGTGCCGTAAATAGAGACTCCTGAACGCATGCGCGGGAGTGACTTCTACGCAGCTCGGCCAATAAGTGGCTGCAGCCAGCGAAGCCGGAAGAGGTCTGGGTGAAGCTGGATTCCCTGTCAGCAGTGACAGGACACCGCTGGAGAGGGTCTGTTTCACAGATAAGTCTGTCATAATGTGCTAGTATGTGGTGCATACTAGTACATTATGACTTTATCCTGCGGGGGGCCATTTTTTTTCCTTCAACAGTGGTTTACTACTGCTTTAAAAGTATGCACACTGTGCAGAAAGTTAACAGGCTGCCCAAGAGTCATTGAGGGGTTAAGGTGCTGACACCGCTTTGTGGCAGCTTATAAATACAAGGGGAAGTAACCTTTCATGGTCCTTGGACCACATGGGAAAAAGTCAGCAGGACTGAGAAGCATGTAAATTTCTCCTCTTAGAAAAGTAACCCCCCCCCAGTGGATACCCACTGGGGTCCCCCAGAAGGATAAGCGAACTGTATGAAAGTGTTCCTTACAAGCTGGAAAGGTATGCCTGGGCAGCCTGAGGCTATTAGTTAGTGTGTGACTGGTGTAGAACTTTTACTAAGAAACTCTTCAAAATTACAATCTGTTACCTTACAAATGCCTGGTCTGAGCTTGCTACAAGGTGTGCATGGTGGTACACGGCATAAAGCAAAAACAGGGCCTGGAATGCATATACAGGGGGAAGAGGAGTGTAAGCCATTTGTAAGGGCAACCAGCTCAAGGGAGCTCAGGCACTGCCCGAGGGCCCGGGGTCAGTAGGGAGCCCCATGAGATTCCCCTGGTACCTTTTTTCATAGGCTTTTTTGAGTTTGGGAAAGGACACAGGGGCCCCATGATCTCCTAAAACAGGGCCTGGAATGCATATACAGGGGGAAGAGGAGTGTAAGCCATTTGTAAGGGCAACCAGCTCAAGGGAATGACGTGGCAGCTAGACAGCAGGATTAAGTACCAGCAGGGGTGAAGGGAAAGGTCCTCTGCATAGCGAGGGCAACAGCTTGCTGTTCCCCTCCCTAGTGGTCGGTGGCCCAGTAAGCAGAACAAAATATGCATGGTGGAAGCCCTAGAGACCTAGCTGTCAGTACGGAAGGTGTTATGTATGATGAGGCACAAGGGTTCACTGGGGTACATGGCAGAACCTACAGGCCATCACTGAGAGAAAGGTGATAGCAGGGCTGGACTTGTGGAACGGGACATATGTTCTGCGGTGTCCCCTTCAAAATGTCACGTTCCATACCAGGGGCGTACTGACCATATGGAAGCTCAGGCACTGCCCAAGGGCCCGGGGTCAGTAGGGAGCCCCATGAGATTCCCCTGGTACCTTTTTTCATAGGCTTTTTTGAGTTTGGGAAAGGACACAGGGGCCCCATGATCTCCTATTGCCCAGGGGCCCCATGAGTTGTTAGTCCACCCCTGTTCCATACAGGTGTATGTATCATGGGACAATGCGGTTCGCTCATCAAGGCTTCAGGTTGTGATTAGTGCACTAGGTGTATGGTTCACTTCTAATTTGGGGTGTTGCCTTAATTGTGAATCCACAGGAACGTAGCCCCCACCTTGTCCCGGGCATTAGTAAGTGCATACACTGGAAAAGGAGAAAGAAAAGGCCTCGTGTGCATGGGCCAGGTGGCCCTGCACACAACCCACTTATCAAAGTCATCTGACCCAAGTCCACAAGGGCATTGTGTACTCTCCATTAAATCCCATAAATTTTTTTTTATTCCGCTAGAGTGTGGAATATGTACTCTGCATAGGATTAAATGAAGAGTACAGGCCCAGCTCTGAAGATTTGAAAAAATGGCTATGTAACAGCAGCGAGAGGAAGGTAATATACAGAAAGTGTAAATATACCAAAGGTGCACCTAGAACAATTGACAATGGCTGTAATGTAGCCCATAGGGAGGCAGTATATGTTGCACAATTGGATAATTAAAAAACTAAAACTAGGCTGCTAGTGAGAAGGTCTACAGTGACTTTGCAATTGAGTAAGATGGGGAGGAGGGTGCAAGCAAGTATGGTTGATATGGAATACAGTGTGTTTTCATACACATGCAGCACTGGTAGCAGACCAGGAGGCAGAACTAAAACTCAGACAAATATATTAAAAGTAGTGGTAAACTCATGGCGGGGGCTATGTTTCCTGCTGCAAAGTAATATGATACAGTCTAGTATGCATCTCACACTAGCACATTATGAAAGACTTACCTTAGAACGAAGCCCTCCAGTGGCATGATGTCACCGCTGCAGAGGCTTCCATCTTCACCCATCTTCCTTCTAAATCCCCGGGCTGCAGCTGCTTGAATGGCTGACATCACTCCCGTATTTCATGGAAATGCCGTCCCTTAAGAGCTCATGTGCTGGTGATGTCACCGGCTGCTGCTCTATAGAATATCTCCTAAATGGTGAACGTTTTCAGAAATATTAGTTTTCCTACAGGTAAGCTGTAAAATAAGAGTTTCCCACCACTTTAAGTTTACTGCTTGGCTTTTTTTTTTTTTAAATTGTAGTTTTAAAAAAATAAATATATCCATTATATTTTTTTTGTCTTCTAGAAAGAGAAAGCTGATCCCCTGCTGTCACCAAACCCAACCCAAGACATTATTATTGCTTTAAGAGGAGAATGTGTCCTGCTTTTACAAAGGCTTATTTCATTTTTTAAGAGAGTATAAGCTACATTCATTACATTAAATAATATGTTACTTCAACATTTCCTGTTCCTAAAATGTGCCTGCTGTACCATGTACTTGTATGGAAAAATACCCTGTTCCCTTTGCCTTGCTTCCTTTGTGTGAAATTCCTGATGTTCCTGCCAGTTCCCCATTTTCCTATTTAAAAAACTGACCATACTAGGAATGAGAGCACAGTGTGGTCAGTTTTCTGGCTGTTCGGGGGACTCAGCCTGTTTTACTCAAATTATTGAGTGCTGACACCCCCCCCCCCCCCCCCCCCGGCCACAGCCATTCACTGAGGAGATGTGTGCTGCTGCTTCTCCTCCCTTAGCTTTCTGAGCTCCTTATGCAGCAGAGAACAAAGGATATGTGATCAGTTAAAGAGGGGGAAAACAGTATTTATAAATGTTTTTGATATCTATACACAAAATGTTTTGCATTTCATTTCCATTTTAAACTGAATGGGCTGTTTTACAAGGTAAAGGTTCTGTCAGGGCTCTGTCCTCAGCAGAGGTGTTAGGAGACCTGGCACCCCTGCCAGTACCTTGCATGGCCAAAGAAGTTCACATCGGTTCAAATTTGACTCCAAACGGCCTTTATAAGGAAGCCCTGCACTACTCTCAGGTGCTGGTTGATCTCTGGCTTTCCAGTACCTTGTTCCTGTTCTATTGTGATCTGATTTCCTGATACTGACTCAGCTTGCTCTTGGACCTGTCTACTCTGCTTAACCCCTGATCTGACCTTGGCTTGGCTAACGGATATTCCCTCTTGCTCCTCTGTGTATGACCTCGGCTATCCCATCTGACTATGTCTGCTCTGATTTCCACCTAGTACCTGACCTTAGCTTTGAACTGGCTATCCTGTGATCCTGTGTTTCCTGGAAGGCTTGCATACCTTGCACAGGCACCACCTGTCTGCAGATCCCATCTCAGTGCATCAGCTGTGCTCCTGGGTGGACCCACCAACGAGCAATCCTACAGTCGACCTGTGCTACTTTGGGCCGGACTCCTGCTGTCCCATTCTCAGGGGAGTCTGGAACTTAGCCGTAAGGGAAGCCCTCTCTCCATTGGCATCTAACACCAGGTAAGTGATAGTATCAACCAGCCATTATGTCTGAGGCCGAGAGAGGTGCTTCCGCATTAGAGGCCCTGTGCCAACAGATGACGGCACTTACACAAGCAGTTAAGGATCTGCAGGAAGGATATTTTCAGCTGGAAGGACGTCTTCACTCGCTCACTACCGCTGCGATTTCTGCAGACCAGAATCTGTTGCCTAGTCCTATCCCTACAGTTGCACCAGCCAGTTCACCTTCCACTGCTACACCCGCTGTGGTGCTACCACCTCCAGAGCCCAGGGTCCCCACTCCTGAATGCTTCCTAGGGGACCGACGTAAATTCCGAGCCTTCGAGAACGCTTGTGAGCTGTATTTCGCACTGCAACCAAGGACCTTCTCACTTGAGGCAGTTAAAGTGGGTTATTATTTCCCTTCTATCTGACGAACCTCAATCATGGGCACACAGCCTACTAGATCAAAAGAACGCTCAAGAACTAGATCAAAAGAACGCTCAACTCAGTGATCAAATTTTGTGAAGCCATGGCGGCTCTCTATGATGACCCTCAGAGGACCTCCACTGCTGAATCCACCCTTCATGCTCTACAACAAGGCAGACGGCCTGTGGAGGACTACATTGTGGAATTCTGCAAATGGTCAGCCGATACCGGGTGGAACGACGCAGCCTAAAATAGCAGTTCGGTCTAGGTCTCTCCGAGTCCCTTAAGGATGAATTAGCTATGGTGGAAGCTCCCTCCTCCTTGGAGAATGGTTGGATTTTAGACACATATAATACTTCTTCTAGTGTCTTGAGGCGATTATGAATGAAAGAGCCATTGAAATAAAAAATGAAGTGTGATTTTATTCTATCACACAATGGTGTAAAATAACAATGTAAAGCGTATTATGAACAGTTCCATGTAGATAAAACTACTGTAGAATTAACAAGCAAAAGTTGAAAGATAAAGTCACCATTATCTATCATAGAAGTCCGGCCATGTGCTGTACTGTCCTTCATCTCTACTTGTCCTTCTAATACTTTGTGAAGAAGCCGGAAGTAGACGGAAATGACGATATTGTAGCATGCACCTGTTGCAGCTTCTCAGACATGTATGTATGTGTATGCAAGAGTGTCAGTGTTAGCGTGTGAGTGTCCCCCTTGTCCGTTGTCTCATGGTCTTTTATGAGGCAAATTTTACGTCATAGTTAGTGATCTTAATACCTTCTATGGAGATTATCACTGCTTAGCAAAGCCATTTCATAAAAGGAAGCTGATGCTATACATATGATGTTTGATGGACAGGAACATATGTATGCTGATGTAAAAATAATATTATAAGCTAATGATGTAACCCTCAGCTATATATTTAAAGAATAATATAGCTTAAGAACATATCAATGTATAATCACTAAACTATATATGTATCAATGTTAGAAACGTATACTAAATACACACAGATACTATTAAAATACGTAATGTAATAGTAAGTCACTTCTAATAACCTTGACATATACTACCAGAGACGTTTATGCCTAAATATAGTATACTCAGCCTTCAGCTAGTTTAGCTAGTTCAGCTTAACTCCTGTCTTTTACTGTCTCAGCTATAATTGAAGAATAGTAATACTACCATTTGTCAAAAGACCATTCACACATATTAATATTAATTATGACTAATCATAAAAACCAAATATTTTGCAAGCTTGCCATCAATATAAGTGCCGAATCATAATTTTGATTTATTAACAAATCCCCCTTATTATGATTAGTCTATAGTTAATGTTCAATCAATGCACACTTCATTCATGTCCCCTACACACAGTCTTATACCAAATGATCGTACATATTCTTCATAACTGGACCAATCAAAAATAACTTTCCTTCAAAACTCTATACCTTATCTTCAGTTTCTCTTTCTAAAAAATTCTTAATCATAATGTTAATTGATATATGATAATAGTATAATAATAATAATAACTAATTATATAATAATAATTAATGTATATATTTCCATATTTGTATAATATTTTAACTCTCCGGAAATATACTTTCCATTCTAAAATGTGTCATAAGTTTATATTACTCCTATAAGAGTAGTATGTTTCTTAACCTTTTAACAAAAGATATTCTATAAACTGGAATAACTCTATGAAGTTTTAACCAAAAAACATTCAGTATATGAATATGTAAAAAATAAAAAATAATAATAATATTATTATCCTAATATGGATGTAAGTATCAGAATAAAAGGATCATTAAAATGTATATGTGACCTATAACAATATTTTCAATAATAAATTATTTTAGCACTAATAATAAATAGATTTCCTCTTGATGAATCTTTTCTTCATGCAATGTCTATAAAATATCTTCTTTAAGTTCTGTAAAGTAGAGACATTTTTGTTGAACGTGATAAATCAGTCACAAGTGTGAAGTATTAAGCTCTTGTTCAATCTTCTTCCCATATGAAGATCTCTTCTTTAACGTCCAAATTCCTTCACGTTGGCTTGTAGGAGATTGTTAAGCTTCATATTTGATTTTAGATGTCATTTCTGTAAAGAAATGCAGTATCATTACTTTGGCACAAACATTACATTATTCTTGCACCTTTTTTCAACAATATGAAAGATTATGGAACAATCAGTTTATGAGTTTGGAACACATATTGTGAAGTATCATTACTTCCTATTTCCTTTTACAGAAAACTTCTATATATCAATCAAAATACTGTCCTAATCCTGTCTAAAATTACCTAAACTAGAATACAAAAGTAGTGTGATATTTGGGTATGACAGGACGCAATATTTCATCATAGGTCATGACCGCAAAACCCTGTTTTACTAAACAAAGAAAGGTTTTGTATCACCCCAGAGATGACAAAGGATTATGCCTTTGTTCTCATCCCTATAATATTAGAAATATGCGTAGCTGTTTTTTGTGCTGATGTCATTATTCTGGTGTTAGAGGTGTTTTCAGTAATACATGTGTTGCTGTGAATGTGAGGTAGAGACTTGTCTGATACAGCTGTACCTATCACAATGTGTTTTGGCTAACAATGCTCTTATCCACTGAGGATACCTTTCACGACATCTCTGAATGCATCTTCCTCAAGAATTCTTCTTAGTGAACTGTCAGGAGACTGTAATATGATACTATGTGACTTTACTATGTTTTCTGAAGCTTTGATTGCATAAAAGAAACTCAACAGTTGTTGTACCTCTGATGTAAAAGTTCTTTCCAATGGTGATACATTTCTGGAGAAGTAACTAATTAGTCTCTCATTACCTTCTTTTAATTGAGACAAAGTTACTGAAATAGCATTTATCAGATACATGAGTTTTTCACAACAAAAAGGAGCATTGGAACAAACCTCAACTGTACCTAATGCTGGCGCATTCTGCAAATCCTTTTTTAACACTTTTAAAGCATTATTCTCATTTGGACCCCATTGGTCAACTAAGTTATTTTTACTCTTCAAAAGATGATATAATGGCTTAACTTTCTCTGCGAAACCATGTATAAACTCTTTGCAATGATTTATGTTTTTCAAAAATTGTTGCAATGCTTTATGTGTTGTAGGAACTGGAAAGGCAGTGATAGCTCTGACTGTTTCATGTAATAATTGTCTCTTCCCTTGACTAATCTGCATGTGAAAGCATTTCACCTGACTTTTCATCAGCTGAACTCTTTCCGGTTTAATTTTAGACCTGCATCCTGTAACAACATAAATAACTCAGACAAAAGAGTAATATGTTTGTAACATTCTGCGTACTTAGCATAATTGTATTTACATGCTGAAAAATGCATTCTGGCCTTGAAAATTGTGATAGAATTTTTGCTATGGACTCATGGACTATACCATCACTGATATCTAAATCAGCTACTAATCGAGTGAATGCATAAGTCTCTTTCTGAAACTTGAAAGCTAACTTGTATTGACAAAAACTTT